TTCCTCCATTTCTGTCATTTGTGACCTGTTTCTTTGTCTCTGCATTTTTTATGCTTCCCTGTGTTGATAGAGTGGCTTTCTGTGCTAGGTGTCCTATAGGGCCCAGTGGCTCAGCCTCCCCAATTACCTGAGGTGGACACTCTTGGTGCACCTGCTTGTGGGCTCTGTGCACAGTCTTGTTGTAGTTAAGCCTTGATTGTTGTAGGTATCACTGGATGGAATTGACCTCCAGGCCAATTGTCTGTGAGAATCAGCTGTGTCTACAGTGGGAGAACTTCTGGCTGGAGACACCCTTCTGGGGCAAGACTTGCTTCAGTGGGGCTTTGGTGCTCACTAAGTCTGCCCCCTGAGTGTGTCCCTTATGGATCTGAGGACTTGTAATCTGGATGGTCCCACTCTGACCCCTGGGTACACTGGCTCTTCGATCTCTAAGGAGGTGCTAATTTAGTCTCTGCCTGAGGCTACCCAGCAGGAGCTATGGATAAATTCCTCTTCTTTGTTTGGGGTTTGGAGGTGCCCAGATGTGGCCCAGCTGTGAAGCAATGGAAGCTGCTGTGGGGCCTTGGGCCTTCTTTTGGAAGTTCTGGGTCTCTCTGACCCAGCTGCAGTTTGTTAGGTATTTTTTAGATTGCAAAGGCCCAGGCCTTTCATATGCAAAATCCTCTGCACACAGTTGGGTGGGGCGGGGTCTCAGGGGATCAACAGGGCAGAGCAAACAGCTATGGCTGATCCTCAGTCCTGCCCTAAGAGGCCCCAGGTTTCAGTGTCCTGGTAATCGCCACAAGCACCCCTGAGAGAAAGCTGCCCTCAAGTTCCATCCAATGCCAGACAGTCCAGTTTCTCCCCATATGAGTCTGGGTCCCCAGAGACTTGCCTGGAACTAGAGTTCAGAGCAGTCGGGAGCCTGTGACTCCCTCCTGATTGAAAAAGACAACCGCATCCTCAGTTGCCAGCCCTTTCTGCACGTGCCTCTGTACCTCTGCACTTTACTTCCACACCTCCTCTGAGTCTCAGTGTGCTTTTCTCTTTCCTTCTAGTTGTAGAATTTTCACTCAGCCAGCCTTCCTGTGGTTCTGGATGATGTCTGTTTTGTCTTTTAGTTGTATTTTTGAAGTGGTTGTGCAAGGCAGCAATTTCTGGTGTTTACCTATGCCGCCATCTTTCTTTTTCCTCTCTTTGTCTTTAATGTTTGGCATTTTAATTATGATCTGTCTGGGCATGGGCCTGTTTGGTTTCTTCTTTCTTGGGGTTCTCTGTGCCTCATGAACTTGTGTGACTTTTTCCTTTACCACATTAGGGAAGTTTTCTGCCATTATTTCTTCAAACATGTTCTCTATTTCTTCCTTCCTTCCTTCCTTCCTTCTTTCCTTCCTTCCTTCCTTCCTCCCTCCTTCCCTCCCTCCTCCTTCCTTCCTTCCTTCCTTCCTTCCTTCCTTCCTTCCTTCCTTCCTTCCTTCCTTCCTTCTTTCCTTCCTTCCTTCCTCTTCTGGCACACCTACTATTCTAATATTGTTATGTTTCATGTTGTCCCACAGCTCCCTTAAGCTCTCTCCCTGTTTTTTAATTGTTTTTCTTTTTGGTTCTCTGATTAAGTGATATTTTCAACTCTGTCTTCTAATTTACTGATTTGATCCTCAGCTTCCCCTAATCTGCTGTGTATTCCTTCCAATGTGTTCTTTATTTGTGTTATGTCATTCTTTATCTCAGACTGTTCTTTTCTCATAGTTACTATATATTTTTTCATGTTGTTGAGTGTCTTTACCATCATTACTCTGAACTCTGTTTCAGATAAATTTCTTATCTCTGCTTTATTTATCTCTTCTTCTGGAGAATTCTCCAGTTCTTTCATTTTGGGGTTGTTTCTTTGTCTCCTCATTTTGGCTGTCTGTTTGGGTTTGTGACTATGTATTAGGTATATACTCTACACCTCTCAATCTCTAGTGGAGGACAGTGTTAAAGGCTGTTTCTGACTAATTAGATCAGGCAAAGACTCAAAGCCTCCAGAGAATGCCTCTGCCTACAGACTGATAGGATTCCGACTTGAATTGCCCCCAGGCAACAGTCCTTAGGTGTGGCGAGAGTTTTTTTCAACAGGGTGGGGCAGTTGCTTCTGCCTAGAGGCTAGTTGTTATTTTTAATCTCTTAAGTGGCCCCAGGGCAAGGCATTTTCCAATAGGGTGTGTCAACTGTCTTCTCCCCAGGCAAAGCAAATGTCTATGTGGGAAAGATGTCCTTTGCTGTGTGAGGGAATGACTCAGCCCAGGAAACTTAGGGTATCTGCCTTCTGAGCTCTATCCCCTGAGTCCCCAGTCCTGGCTTCTGTTCTCACAGCTCCAGTCCACTTCACCCTCCCTTCGCTGCAGCACAAGATGGTGGCTCCACAGGGAATTTTGTGAGTTGGCCCTTTAAGAGGGTGCCCAAACTTTCAGAGAGCACCCCACTGCTTTTCACAGCTATATGTTATGTGGGTACCTCCTCAGTTTGGTGCTCTCTGCTGGGAGGCCCAGCTTGGGGATTAGATCCCAGAGTTCTCAGTGGCACCCTCCCCCCCCCCCCACCCCACCGATGAGATATCTCTCCAGGACTTCAGTTGCTGTCTGTGGGAGCCCAGCCAGCCTTTTTGTGTCTCCGCCCCTCCTATCAGTCTCTATGTGGTCTCCACTTTCGTTCTGCACGTATCAGTGTTCTCTCCTGCGATTTTTCCATTGATTATTCAGGAAGTTTTTCTGTATTTTAGTTGTAATTCCAGTTTGTTCCTGGGAGTATGTCTGTGTAGCATCCACTTATTCTGCCACCATTTTTTAATCCTCTCTAGAAGGTTCTTACTAGAAGTTTTCTAAGTGTGAATGATGTCCATTAATTGAAAAGAGACAAAAAATGTGTTAGGGCAGAAAAGTGATGAGAATGTGAAGCATTATTCACAAGCTTCTGTCTCCTTCACCTACCGGTCCTTTAATTCATTTCTCTCAGGAGATTTAAACTCTCTTTATCAGGTACAAAGTCGTCTGGTTTTGCTTTTGCTTTTTTTTCTTTAAGGAAATTTCTTTGGTGAGAATGGGAGAGAAGAGAAGAATGAGGAATTTAGGGAAGTTGAAATTAGAAGAAAGGGGAGAATGAGATCAGAAAGTATGATTATAGGCTCTGTAGTTAGTAGTGACTATTAATACACAAGAAATTTTCTGTGAATTTGAAAATTCTACAATATAAAAAGTCAAATTAGCTTAAGGTAATGATAAGAAATATACCACCATTATTTTTCCACAATTATGAGAAAATAATCTGTGGAGCACTAGCCAGTACGGCTCAGTTGGTTGAGCATCATCCTATGCACTGAAAGGCCTCAGGTTTGATTCTCAGTCAGGGCACATACCCAGGTTGTGGGTTTGATCCCTGGTCAGGGCCTATGTGGGAGGCAACCAATGTTTCTCTCTCTAAAATCAATAAAAACATTTTCTTAAAAAAATAATTGCTGGGAAGCTACTTTAAAACTCTATTCTAATTTTTACAATTAATTAGTAGGTATTTGGTTACTGACATAAAATTAGACTTTACAACAAATATTTTGATATCTATATATGTTACATTTAATAAACTAAAGAAATATATAAAATCAAAACATTATTACTAAATAGCATATTTCTTATATCATCAATATACTAGAGGCCCGGTGCATGAAATCCATGCACTTGGGGGGTGCCTCAGCCCGGCCTGCGTCCTCTTGCAGTCCAGGAGCCCTTGGGGGATGTCTGACTGCCATGGAGGCGGGAGAGGCTCCCGCCACTGCCGCTGCACTCGCCAGCTGTGAGCCAGGCTTCTGGTTGAGCAGCACTCCCCCTGTGGGAGCGCACTGACCACAAGGGGGCAGCTCCTGCATTGCACGTCTGCCCCCTGGTGGCCAGTATGCGTCATAGCGACCGTTTGGTCAATTTGCATATTAGCCTTCTATTATAGAGGATACCAGGTTTTGAGATCAATGTTAAAAATATGCTCGGTGTATTTTCTCTCTCATAATTTTTTTGTATTTTAATATTTTGGCCCAAGTTAATAGAATGCATTAAAAACAGGTTCTATGACAGCCACTTTTCAGTAGTCTCTGTAAAGAATAGACACAATCTAAAGTAGAGGATTAACTGGGTTCTGTAATAAAAGGAAGAGTTAGGAGACCATTACTGTGTCATTATGTGAACCATAAAACCACAGTGAGTGTTACAGCTAAACACTTCCTAAACATTTAATTTTCTTAGCTATATAAAGAAAATCATGTTTCAATTTTATTTTATTTCTTAATCTGATAAAACTTATATATAGAAAATATTTTAAATATGAAGCATTCACATAATGTTAAGTCATTTATATTTACCTTTAAAAAAACATTTCTAAAAATGAATGTATAACATGTCCCAATTGTTTGGCGAGTTTATTTACCAGGAAAAGTTTTAAAATGTATCATGGATATTTTGTCTTTATGTTTATCCAACAATTGATAAATGCATCTTGAAACCTGGTTGTTATTTCAGGATAACTTAGGACACCAGAAAGATTAGTTAAGGTCATGAAAGGCCTATCAGGCTTAGAGACTGAGGGCAAGTAAAGGAAATGAATTTGTCAGTTGACAGTTTAGTTGCACATGCTAACAGTCCAAGAGTTCCTATGGGTCAGACATATACCTTTAGTGTAATGCAGATACATAAAAATCTCATTAAATAATTAAATAATGAATTTGTAGGATATACAATTTGCAGGAAATATTTTATTTTATAAATGCATGTTTTAGAAGAAAACATTTGAAATGTAATATGACTTGCATTGTTTTTGTTTAGTTACTGAACGAAAGCAATGAGGAACATCAAAAAAATAATGTTGCAGGATGTATTTCTTTAGTATTTAAAAGCTGTTGAGCTTCATTATATTTTTATTTTTACATTGGTTTTAGTCTATTTTAACTTTTCATTATATAAGTGCTCAATTCACTGTGTGTTTTATCTATTTTATCCTTGTAGCATTTCTACAAGGAGGCTGCTGCTTTTGTGTTATGAGCAGTTGCTAAACATTCTCCTCAACTAGCTCAGGCAACAGTTGATTGTGGAGCACTGAGATGCTTGGAAGATTTTGACACTGGAGTCAAAGAAGATGCAACCTTGGCGTTTGGTTGTACTGCAAGACATAATGCAGGTAATGGAGCATATTTAAAAATGGGGTTATTAAAGTATATGTTTATCAGGTAATTCTGGTTTTGCTTAGTAAAGCATAGGTGAAGTTTTCATGATGTTTCTATACATTATGGGAGATAAACTTTGAATGATGCTCAAATTGTTTTGATTGCAAATTCATTAAAAAATGCACATTTCAGTCTTTATCTTAATTAGCAGAAGAGAAATTTGTAGATGGAAAGAGAAGGGGGTGGGAGGGAAATTGGGCAAATGAGATATTAATTCTCAAAGACTTTGGTAAATTGGTTAAGAAATTATTTTAGTTTGTCACCCCTCAGGGCACATTGAGTCTTCACTCTGACTCCTAACATAGCGATGAAATTGTGTATTACACTTGTAATAATATAAAAATAAGTTTTTATGTAGACATAAATTACAAAGAGATACATGTTTGTGTTACTAGGGTGGTAGAATTAAGGATATTTGTCTTTATTTTCCAAATTTTCAGGGTGTATACATGTATAAAATAATAACTACCATTTACTGAGTAATTACCATGTACCTGACTCTGCACAGTATGCTTCAGATACTTTATCTGTGCTACCCTTAGGTATTACTCTCCTTGCTTAATTGAACAAAAAAGACAAAAAAGAGAAAGAGCTCATGGATACCGATAATAGCATGGTGATTGCAGGGGGAGAGGGAGGTGGAGCTGAAAGAGGGTAAAGGGGGGATAAATGGTAATAGCAAAATAAAGAAAAAAATGGAACAAAAGCAAATTGAGAAAGAAAACTATTGTCATGCTTAGAATGGTTCAGAATTAGTATATTAAAATTGTTTCCTTAATATCTGGATTTTGGTTTTCTAGATAGGTTCACTTTAGGACTATTGCTTAATAGATGTTGATTGAGAAAACTAAGGCAGTGTTTTAAATCAGAGGCTGGTTATCAGGGGGAAACTGCATAAATATATTTAGTAATTTTTTTTTTAATGCCAGAGGACTTAATGGCAAACAGATTGTAACATGAGTATTTCAAAGGGTGGTGCCAAAGAGCTTGGAGGGACAGCTGTGCAGATACATTCTCGGGCAGGTGCCCATAGGTAACCTTCCCAGACCTCCCTTTTGTTGAGTGTGAGGTTAAGTGATAATAGTTCATAAATACGGTTGTTCTAGGGGTTCCGTTCTGATCCTTTTTTGCTGTAATCTGGCTCCCACGTGGAATTCCCCTGTAATTTCAATATTTCACAGTACCTAAAAGCTCCAGAGGAGATTTCTGCATAGACATCTCTGAAAGAAAGGGAATTGTTATCTAGATGCAATAAAATCAGTCACCATTCACAACGTGGATATCAGTGAAAATAGAGAACTCAACCTCCAAATAACCTGATTTCTTTCTCACCAGATTCCTAAAAATGGAATATATTGAGATTAATGGGAGGACATTCATTCAGTGTTTTCTACTTAGTATTAGTGGTGAAATGTAGATCAGACAGTTTAAGAAATATAAACCTCAAATAGAGATGCAAAAGAAATAAAGTATATCTTTAAGGGCATAGAAGGAAAAGATGTTGTAGGAAATAAAAATAAAGTAACATACAATTAATAGAGAAGAGAAACCAATGGACATTATCTGACTTTTCCTTCTACAAGAATACAATTTCTAAATGTTACTTCTATGTATAGATTTTAAAGTATTTTACTGATAACCAAAGGGAACTGGGGGCTAACAACTACAAATAGCAAGTGTTTTTTTTTTTTAAAATTCTGTTCAAATTGTGTCATTAATTTTTTTTTAAAAAAATATTTCTTTATTGATTTCAGAGAGGAAGAGAGAGACAGAAACATCAGTGATGAGAGAGAATCATTGATTGGCTGCCTCCTGCACATCCCCTACTGGGGATCAAGCCCGCAACCCAGGTACTGGAATCGAACCTGGGACCCTTCAGTCCACAGGCCGATGCTCTATCCACTGAGCCAAACTGGCTAGAGCTAAATTTTTATGATTGAACCACCAGTTATTGAATACACTGATAAAAGTACCTCTTACTTTGAAGATGTTATTTCTTTATATTTTTTCCTGCTTATTAATAAAGGCTGAAAGAATTCTTCTCGTATTGGTTGTCTCTTCTTCTACCCACTTTCCCACGCTGCAGAATTATTCTAATCAATGTCAAAACTCTCACTGTTTCTAAAGATTAGTCTTGCTTTGGAGGTACAAGTAGTAAGGCGAGGACCCTGGTGGCTGGAAGTGTGAGGGTGAGGCAGAAGGAACCATGGGGCTGTGGAGCCACAGTGCTTCCCAGAAAAGTGCTTCCCTCTGCTCCTGGCCCTCCTTCCTGCTCCCACCTGGCAGCCTCTCTCTGGCCTTGTTACTGTTTGCAGCACAGCAGCGCTGTGGAGGAGTGCTTCCAATGAACTCCTGTTCAGAGTGTGGCAGCAATTAGAGTACTTGGTGAGGTGAAGACAATAGCCTATATATTGGCTGGAAGTGTGAGGAAGGAGGAGTCGTATAAGTACTTTATGTATGAATGATCTTCTACATTTGGGCTAAAAAAAAATAAGTTCTAATTTTTTATTTTGGGAGCTTTAGCTAAAAATGCTGTCTTTTGTAAACTTGGTCTCTTGTAAATTTTGGCTGTTCTCAAGCTGGCAAACCGGAATGTATTTGATTACGTGTTCTAAAACATTTCAGTTATTGATAGAATTGCCATGTTATAGATGAGGAAACTGAAGTAGAGAGGTTACAGGATTTATTCTGGTCAGATAGCAATTTATGGTAGAACTGCTTGGCAGTTACTCAAAACCTTTCAGAGATTTTTCATTTTTATGGTGTGAGAAAGAAAAGTATATGAGAGCTCATAATTCTTTGTTTTAACCTCCTTCTTCTATTTGAAAGTCTCACCAGATACCTCTGTTTTAATCCCTGATGGCTGGTTCCCACATGTGTGACTATTCTTTCTCTCATAGACCTGATTTATATCCTTAGGACCTAAATCAAGTGAGGAGTTTTATTCCAGCTAAGTAGCAGTTAAAAGAGGAGATTGTGGCAGCCAAAGATGAGTGGTGCTCCCAGGAAATGGCTGGTGTGGACACTACGGAAACATTTAGTAGAGTGTTTCCTACTCACTAAGTAAATAATGTCAGGAAAGATTCAGAGCTGGCCAGCCTGATTCTTTACCCCCTTATAGAGAATGATGAAATGATTAAAGGAGAATGCAATTTTAAAATTCATAATTTTTGCAAATATTCTTCTCATGCCATTTACCACCTATATATAATTACCAACATCATAAATTGTGTGGAAGAGGCTTAGGAAGCAGTAATTAACTTTTTAAAAATCCACATGTTATTAAGAAATATCTGAGTTAACTAGGGACTTTGTAGTGTATGACTTAGAGTAGATAAGGATGGATGGGGGAAGGGGACAAGAGCCTGGTAATTAAAAATTATTTTAAAAGCCCTACAGACAACTATCTTCACCGATGCCTGTAGATAATGTTGATTTCTGTTCCATCTTTTTCTTTTTATAACATTTTTTTTTTTATCCTGGAGGGTTTGAAAAACATGCATAGAGGCAAATTATGTTTATGAGATTATATATATTACACCTATTTTTATTCTAATACTAGTATTTATTTCCACAAATACTCTCCTATTTACTTAGGTGTAAATGAAAAAAGATAAAGTATGGACCTGGAGGACATTATGCTAAGCAAAATAAGCCAGTCAAAGAAGGATAAATATCACATGATCTCACTCATCTGCAGAATATAATGAACAACATAAACTGATGAACAAAAACAGATCCAGAGACAGAGAAGCATCAATCAGACCTTCAAACCTCAGAGGGAAGGCAAGAGAGGGTGGAGAGAAGGGGGAGAGATCAACCAAAGGACTTTTATGCATGCATATAAGCATAATCAATGGACACAGACACTAGGGGGGTGAGGTCACGAGCGGGGGGGGGGGGAGGGCAATGGCAATGGGGGGATAAGACACATATGTAATAACTTAATCAATAAAGAAAAAAATAAGTAAAAAAAAAAAAGAAAAGAAATGTCTCTTCTATGTTCTTTGGGTAGAGAAGAGAACCCAAGTGTGTTAAACATTAACATTTTAATTATAACATTACTCAGTAGTTACCTAATTTGTTAGTCATTTTAGGGGTTAGTTTGTATGCTAGTAAAAACATATGTTGTAAATTCTCCTGTATTTTTATTTATTGTGATTTAAAAAAAATTTTTTTTTAAATATATTTTATTGATTTTTTACAGAGAGGAAGGGAGAGAGATAGATAGTTAGAAACATCGATGAGAGAGAAACATCGATCAGCTGCCTCCTGCACATCTACTGGGGATGTGCCCACAACCCAGGTACATGCCCTTGACCGGAATTGAACTTGGGACCTTTCAGTCCGCAAGCCAACGCTCTGTCCACTGAGCCAAACCGGTTTCGACTATTGTGATTTTTAAAGTTATGAACTCTTGGTTAATAAAATCTTCTGGGAAATTTTTTTGGCTTTTTTTTTTTTTTTTTTTTACAATTCAGAATATGGAGCAATAAAATATAACTCTGTAATCTCAGATCCCTAACTCACTGAGAACTTTATATATGAGGCTAGCAAACAATTTCTTTATCACCATTATCACTATAATCACCAAAAAATATTTGAGACACTTAGCCCTCTACCCCACACAATATTTCTCTATCTGATGGCACATAACATTCTTTTTATTTTTTTAAAAAAATATTTGTATTGATTTCAGAGAGGAAGGGAGAGGGGGAGAGAGAGAGAGAGAAACATCAATGATGAGAGAGAATCATGGATCAGCTGCCTCCTGCACTCCCCCTACTGGGGATTGAGCCCGCAACCTGGCTGGGAATTGAATAGGTGACCTCCTGGTTCCTGGACTGATGCTCAACTGCTGGACTGGCCCCTAACATTCTTTTAGTCTGAGGCTTGTTCCCTGTGCAAGAAATGTCACTAAATGTGTGTGCTGAGTGAATAAAGAGAAGGGTGT